TGAGTTGGAGTCTCACTCTTGTTGCCCAGGCTGGAGTGCAGTGGCACGCTCATGGCCACTGCAGCCTTGACCTGCTGGGCTCAGGCGATCCTTGATACTTCCACCTCAGCCTTCCAAGTAGCTGGAATTACAGACACATGCCACCATGCCTGGCTACTTTTTATTTTTATTTTTTGAGTTGGAGTCTCACTCTGTCATCCAGGCTGGAGTGCAGTGGCACACTCACAGCCACCGCAGCCTCGACCTTCTAGGCTCAGGCGATCCTTCCACCTCAGCCTTCCAAGTAGCTGGAACTACAGATGCACGCCACCACGCCGGGCTAGTTTTTGTGACTTATCGTAGACTCGAGGTCTCACCAAGTTGTCCAGGCTGGTCTCGAACCCCCGGGCTCAGGCAGTCCTGTCGCCTCGGCCTCCCAAAGTGCTGGGATGACAGGCTGAGCCACTACGCCCAGCCGGATTTTGCTTCTGAGAGAATAGACAGGCTTGTGGGTTGAGGAGTCTGAGATTGAGCGACCACTCCGCACCCCTTGAGAACCCCGGGAGGTGGGGGCCATTTTGATTTCCATTCCCCAAACGGGGGAATTGGTGGGATTAAGCTGCTGGCCCAGGGTTGCAGGGTGAGAAGGTGGCAAGGCCAGGATCCAAATCCAGGCTGCTTTCCTCTGGGGAAGCAGAATTTTTCCAAGCAGAGAATGAAGGGGACGGCTGGGCATAGCGACACATGCCTGTAATCCCAGCACTGAGAGGCTGAGGTGGGAAGAGTGTTTAAGCCCAAGAGTTCGAGGTTGCAGTGCGCTATGATCATGCCGCTACACTCCAGCCTGGGTGACAGAGTGAGACTATGTCTCTGAAAAAATATACAAAGAGAAGGAGAGGAAAGGCGTTCTAGACACAGGCATGCATGAGCCAGGTGCTAGGGGGTAAGAGACAAGGTAGAAAATATAGGTGTGGCCCAATGTGGAGATTCCACAGTAATCCTGTGCAGAATTTTGGACTCTAGCCGGGTGTGGTGGCTCATGCCTGTAGCCTCAGCTATTTGGGTGGCCAAGGTGGGAGCATCATTTGAGCCCAGAAGTTCAAGGCCAGTCTGGACAGTATAGCAAGACCCTGCCTCTAAAAACAATTTTTTTTTGAGTTGGAGTCTCACTCTGTCACCCAGGCTGGAGTGCAATGGCATGCTCACGGCCATCACAGCCTCAACCTTGTTGGCTCAAGCCATCCTTCCCCTCAGCCTTCCAAGCAGCTGGAACTACAGGTGTGTGCCACCACACCCGGCTAATTTTTTGATTTAATGTAGAGATGAGGTCTCACCAAGTTGCCCAGGCTGGTCTCGAACCCATGGGCTCAGGCCATCCTCTCACCTCGGCCTCCCAAAGTGCTGGGACTATAGGCGTGAGCCACCATACCCGGCCTAAATTTTTTTTTTTGAGTCGGAGCCTTACTCCGTCGCCCAGACTGGAGTGCAGTGGCACACTCCCAGCCACCGCAGCGTCGACCTGCTGGGCTCCTGTGATCCTTCCGCCTCAGCCTTCCAAGCAGCCGGAACTACAGGCTAATTTTTTTTTTTAATTTTTAATTTGACACCACTCTGTTATCCGGGTGGCAACTTGCTTGTGTCTGTGGCCACTGGATGGCAGCAGGGCCGGTTGGTGGCGGGAGCCCAGTTCAGAGCTGTTGCAATAGTCTGGCAGCAGATGATGGCTGGGCCTCCCAGGGTCAGAGAAGGGGCCGCTTTGGGGTACGTCCTGGAGACAGAGTTGGCAGGACCTGCCAGCAGATTCAGTGTGGGGGGGGCAAAGAAAGAGAGCTCAACGATGACACCAGGTGTTTGGCCTGCGCTGTGGGAGGATGGGCCAAGGGGGGAGAGCAAGTGCCACTTTACATATGCTGCGTCTGAGCCTGTCGCCTGTGTAGGGGGGCAGTCCCAGAGGCAGTGGGATATTCGGTCCTGGAACTCAGAGGATCGATCAGGGTAAAGATACCTGCAGACAAGTCATGAGGGTAGATAGAGGTGACATTCCAGAGGGAGTGAGGAGAGAGCAGAGGCCCAGGATGGCAGGGAGAGAAGCCACCAAAGTGGCATGGACCAGTGGCTGGAGAGGAAAGAAGCAAGCCAGGGGCCTGTGGCACCATGGAGACCGCCATTTCCATGAAGCGATGTCCGTAGGAGCCCCGGGCTGCTGGCGCCGCCCTGCAAGTGGGAAGAGAGGGAGGAGGTAGGAGGTAGGTGGCGGAAGACTTTGTTGTTTCTAGTGAAACGTGGTAAATCCCAGTACTGTCACCTCCAGTGTTGAAGGCTTTGATGAAGGGCTCCCTTTGCAGCTTTTGGAGGCTACTTCCGTCTCTGGAAGGGACAAGCAGAAGCTACAGTGAACCGGGTGTGGTGGCCCACGTCTGTCATCCCAGCACGTTGGGAAGCAGAGGCAAGAGGATTGCCTGAGTTCACAGGCTGGAGACCAGCCTGGGCAACAGGCAAGATCTCTTCTCTACAATAAATAAAAAATTAGCCAGGCATGGTGGCGCACGCCTGTGGTTTCAGTACTTGAAAGGCTGAGGTGGAAGGATTGCCTGAGCCCAGCAGGCTGAGGTTGTGGTGGCTGTGAGTGTGCCACTGCCTGGTGACAGAATCTGACTCAAAAAAGAAGGTACAGTGTCTTTGTGAATGACTGTGGCATCATGTCCAATGTGCCCCGGAAGGGGGACCCTGCTTGCTTTCCTCACCCCTGCGTCTCAGTCTTCTGCACCCTCAGACAGCCCTTCCATGTCCGCTTGTGGTTTTGTTCTTCCTTGTGGTCTGAATCTAGGTTTTATTGCACAATTAAAAACCAAGTCACTTCTTACTCCTGGACACCTCAGCAAAAGACAGTGGGTGTACAAGGTACTTATCAAACATGTTTGATGTGCACTGAAGAGCTAATCATGTGATCAACACAAGGGAAGTATTTGGCATACTTTGCTTCTGTGTTCTAAAAAATTCTCTTTTTCTCCAAGTGTAGACTTTGTTTTATTTTGCTGTTGTTGTTTTTTTAGTCGGAGTCTTACTCTGTCACTCAGGCTGGAGTGCCGTGGCATACTCACAGCCACCCCAGCGTCAACCTGCTGGGCTCCAGCGATCCTTCCACCTCAGCTTTCCAAGTAGCCGGAACTGCAGGTGTGCGCTACTATGCCCTGCTAATTTTTTAAATTTATTTATTGTGGAGACAAGCTCTTGCCAAGTTGCCCAGGCTGGTCCAGAACCCCAGGGCTCAGGCAATCCTCTAGCCTTGGCTTCCCAAAGTACTGAGGTGACAGCCATGAACCACAGCGCCCTGCCCAAGTGTGCTTTGTAATATGAGATTAAAGGGTGGCAGTGATTTTACACAAGTGAGTAGCAGTAGTGTTTGCACAGCTAAAAATCACCAAGTGTTGCTTCAAAAGTGCATTATGATGATGATTTAATTCCAACTGTAAGTTCAGCAGATAGGTGGCACCAGCGAGTTTCAGTAGAGGAGCCTGTACCCATGAAGACCACTCCCTGGCATATGCTAAGACCCCAAGTGGGGAAAGCGTTGCTCTTGCTTTCCCCACTTGGGAAAACTCTAGGCCAGGCTCGGTGGCTCACATCTGTAATCCCAGCACTTTGGGAGGCGGAAGCGAGGGGATTACCTGAGCTCAGGGGTTCGAAACCAGCCTGAGCAACATGGCGACACCTCGTCTCTACAATAAATTAGCTGGGCATGGTGGCACCTGCCTATGGTTTTAACTACTTGGAAGGCTGAGGTGGAAAGATTGCCTAAGCCCAGCAGGTTGAGGCTGCGGTGGCCGTGCCACTGCACTCCAGCCTGGGCCATGGAGTGTGACTCCAACTCAAAAAAAACAAAAAAAACCTCCAGAGCCTAGGCACTCCCTATCCCCGGCCCAAGTGAGCTGCTGGGTCAGGCCTCTGTTTGGTTTGGGTTGAGACTCCTGGAGCCACACTTCCAAAGAACCAGCCTTGCAGAGAACAGGTTCAAGGCCATTGGCCAGCGATGTTCCCAGGATGGTTGCTGCACCTGTTCCTTCGTGCCCCCCTCCCCCCTTCCTCTTGGTGCTCTGTGTGCTGTGTGCTCACTTCCTGTCACCGAGGCTCTTCCTGTGTGCCCAGTCACTGTCTCCAAACATCTCTGAATCGACAACACACACAGCATCGGGCATTTGCAGCTGTTGTTGCTGCTAGCTGGGCCACCTGGGTCCAGGTCTGCATTTTCTTCTCGGGCCCATCGTCACGGTCCCGGGGTGTCTCCAAGGTGGAAGGTTGTGAGAATCGGGGGGCAGCTCGGCTCCTCTTGTAGTCTAGCAAGTCAGAGTTTTCCCGGCTCTCGATGTGCATTTAGATGAATGTGCTCCTTTTCCCAAGAGGCCTCCCTAAGAGCGGGTCTCCTCTTCAGAGGTCCCAAGAAGAAGGCAAGTAAGTGCCTTTGAGGAGTGGCCATGAGAACTGGCTGAGAACCGGTAGAGGATTGCTCCCCAGAATCTGGGCCCAAGCGAGGCTGGAGGTCACAGGTGGGCTTGGTTTGTTCCAGCAGTGCCCTCCAGGCTGGGGCAGCATGTGGTAGGACACCCCCAGGGGCAGCACATCCCAGGAGAAAGAGAGGCTCTGGGACTGGCTGTTGACTGGCAGCGGGGGCCTAGTTGGGAAGGGAGGCCAGGCAGTGAGCCGCCGTGGGGGTCTTCAAGGTGTGTGGGAACACGTGGCTGAGTCAGTGGGTAAGCCGCTGACAACGAGGTGGGGGCAGGTAGGTGGAGGACTCTAAGATGGCTTGGGATGCTGCGGCCTTGCACTTGACAGGCACTTCGAGGTTTGAAAGACCTTAGCAGGAGGTCGGGGGCATGCTGGCAGTGGGGTAGGGGGAGCTGCTGAGCCGATGCTTCCTTCCCG